AAGCGGGGGAAAAAAGGGGCGGGGGGAGAAGGGGTTGGGAGGGAAGGGAGGGAAAGGGGAAAAAAAGGGAAAAAATACCCGAAAAGAGAGAGGGGGAAAGGGGAATGGGAAAAAAGGAAAAAAGGAAAGGGAAAAAAAAAAAAAAAAAGGAAAAAGCGGGGGAAAAAGCAGAAAAGAAAGGGAAAAAGGGAAAAAGGGGAAAATGGGGAAAAGGGGGGAAAGAAAGGAAAAGGAGTAAAAAGGAAAAAAGATGGGGAAAAGGAAAGGCAGGAAAAAGGGGGGAAAGGGGGAGAAAGGAGAAAAAGGCAAAAATAAATGAACAAAAGGGGGAAAAAGGGGTGAGCGGGGAAAGAAGTGAGTAAAAGAAAAGGCGAAAAGAAAAGAGAGCAAAGGGAGTTCTAAACATCCCATAAATATTTAAGAAGTCCCCTGTGCTCAGGGACATCTGTTAGGCTCAAACCTGCTGGCAGCTGCTGCCAGCCTTGCTGCACTGCACCACCCCACCCCACCCCACCTGCTGCTCCTCACCACTTCACTACTGACCACCAATAAGCCACTTTTTGGCAGGGGTTCGCCAGGCATCCAAGTTTGCTAGCCTGTTAAAAAGCTGGTGGGACGAAGCTCACAGCCTCGGATGATTGGTCTGAACATAGGGACAGCCAGCCAGGGACATGCTTGAGCCTCAGCGCTGGCATGGAAAAGACTCGCCCTGCACGGGAAAGGCCCTGGCTCCGGATACCTTTTGGATATGAAGTGAAGCGTGTGTGTGTGTGTGTGTGTGTGTGTGTGTGTCCCTTTATAGATACACGATATCTTTCAAAGCCCATTCTTGCTACAAAGCAGATACAGTTCTCTGAAAAGGTTGATAGGAGGAAACGTGGCTCTCCTCCAAGACCCTGTTACATTGCTACGCTGCCACACAGATCTCATTGCTACCCGGTACCAGCAATACTTGTCCATCCGATCACCTCTCTCTGCAGTCATCTCAGTTTACACTGGCTTTGTAGTCCCCAGAATGTTTTGTCCACTTGGCATGCAAAGCCAATTGACACACAGAGTCAAGATATTTGCTTTATTTTGGTTCCACAGAAACGGGTGCTAGGGGATAAATCACAAATCCAACACACCATTAGCTCACGCAGCAGCAATTTGTATACAGTACAAATAAAGAAATTATGCATGATCAGGTACATTTTACATCACAGGAATCTTTGTACTCATTATCCATCCATTACCTAATTCATTATGCTAAGGCGGTCCTACATTTACACTTAAATTCTCCTCCTTGAGGTGTGTTCTTTAGGATTAAAATCAACACAGGTTATGTAGGGGACACCTCAAGGTTTTGATCTTTGTCCAAATCCGCTTCTGGTTTATGCAGACAAGCCATAACAAGGCATTATCTACAAAGGCTGACAGAATTTTGGTGTTTTTAGATACTGCTCTTAATTACTATGTCTTGTTTCTGATTATTCTCACCTTTGAGGTCATTCATCCTTTAGTCTTAAGGGCCACCCATTCTTGTCTCCTGGTTTCAGGACAGTTCATTAAATCCTTATTCAGCCTTAAAAGTTTTAAACTGTTCTTCTGACATCAGCTTTACCAGGTATATTATTTTAACTCTCAGCAGTCTCATTTCTACTTTTTTTTCCCCCCTTATTATGTATATAATTGTTTTCTCAACTTTATTTCACGACAAAATAGGCCCTGAAAATTGATGCCCAGAAGACGGGCATCCTTTAGAACTAAAATGAGGTGTTAGGCTAGAAATGCTCAGAAGCCTCAGCTGACGAGGTGTCACTGCAACGCTGACAGCTTTGTGAAGATCCATGAGGATTTTTCATCTTTCATCACAGAGGTGCGACTGCAGCATCCCTGCCCAGGAAGCTTTTGCTGCAGCCCACAAATTTCTGCCTGCATATGGTTGTTTTAAGAGGGCTCCTGTGTCAGGAAAAGAGGGAACCCCAAGTCAGACCTTGGAGTTGGCTTGTTTCCAGCAGGTGACTTTCCCTTCTTCACTCACTTGGTATCAGGCCACAGGCAGAGTCCTGAGGAACCATCCTTCCATTGCACTCATTTCCTGCTGTAGTGTCAAGTCAGAAAATTAGTCTCTATTAGAACTAACCTAGGCAAAAGGAGAAAACAGATCTGTGTTTTGACTGCTTATTTGTGTAACCCAAATACTTGGCTTGGGTGTAAAGGATGAAGCCAAATGAGGTACAAGGGCAAGAGGAGCAGAGCCATGAGTGAGTGAAACTCTGACCAGCGGTTTAGATCCCCTTCCACACACTTGACTCATCTTTTTGCAGATTTAACTGCAGAGCCCAACAACACCATGTTACTCGTGCTTACCTTCATTGACATTGGTGCTGTCACGGTAACTTCGTCTTCGCCCATCCACTCTTGCAGGAGGCTGACAGTATTTTGGGGGATGAAGCAGCAATACACCCCAGCTGTGAAGGTCACTTCATGTCTTTGCAGTGTCCCTGCCCCTCCACTACAGCATCCCCAACATTTCATGAAAGCAAGCACAGCTTATTCCACGTACCTTCTGTAACAAGTTTCACATCTCTAATGACCATTAAATACAAAGGGAAATAAGTTTACAGCTACACTACATGCAGCAGAGGTGAAGGGCCAGCCTAGCAGTTCCTCTCAATCTTACTAACACATATAGAAGTGAGCCACATGCTTCTAACATGCCTCTGAATATGTGTTATTGGAAACAGAAAACTGAGACAACATTCCAAGAACTAGTGAAAGCTAAGCTAGGCATAGAGAACAAACTCCTCCTCAAGGAATGAAGGCAGGTCATGAAACATCTTGCTTGAAAAATTAATCAATCAGCATTTAAGAACTATCAGCTATTATGCGGGCTTTGGTAGGAGTAGCAAGCTCAAGAGCTTTTCTCCCTCTTCTCAGAAGCCAACCAAGTTAGCAGTTTTCAGCAGAGAAGGTTCTGAAGAACTTGCTTTTTACAGATGTGGTAAACAATAGAAGCCAGATCTGGCTATGTTCCCCACCTGCCCCTTCCCCAGTAAAAGTCCTGAACAGAAATATGGTAACAGAATCCCTTTCAGCAGCAAATCATGGAAACTCTGACCTGGGCCGAGCTACAGAAGAAACCAAAGCGTGCTTTTGTGCATTATTTATTTGAAGTACTCTGAGGTCTGATCACATAAGAGATAAACGGAGGATACTTTAGATTTAGACTTTAAATCAAATTCAGTGTGTATATTATATAAATTTTTATTTACATAAGGCATCGAAGTTGCCCTTTTTAACAAAAGGGTCATTTTCCCTTTTACCAATACTTTGGTGAAAGAAATGTCACATTTAGCAGACTAATATTCACTGGTATGCTTGTTCTGGACAAGCAGGTACAATCCAACGTACAAGATGTAAAACCAAACACAAAAGATCCAAGCATACTGCTTCATGAATCACTCTACAGAACAAAAAATTTAAGCTTGTTTGCATTATCATGATCAATCATGCACCATTTATTCCCACAAAGAATAATTTCCAACTTGAGCAGGACTAGCAAAAGAAGTCTGGAATAATCCCCATATTGTTTACACAAAAAAAAACAAAAAACAAACACCCAAACAAACAACAACAACAAAAAAACACCACCAATTTGGCATTTTAGAAATTAGGTTGAGAAGTAGGGATGAAAAGAGGAAAACAGGAAATGGCCCTTGCTTCAGAATCCTTTATCAGCATTTCCAGTGTCTGTTTGCAGGAATCCTTCAGTTTAAAAATAAAAGGACTTCCAAAGGCTGATCTAGAAACATTTTCAGAAAAGAGTAAAGTTACAGTTCCTCTGTTCATTTATATGAAATATGTGGAGAGAATACATAGTTTGGAATAATGAACTCCACATTGAGATCCCCAAGTAAATGGCATGTATACACTGAGCTGAGCCTGCTTAATAGGTTTGACTTATAAAAATGGTAAACCTGTATTATTTTTCAGCCTGATTTAATAATTCCTGAGTTTTAGATCGCTGCTGAGACACAGCAGACAAAACTCTGAATGATGTAGTGACAGAAGTTCTGCAAATGACTTTCAACATCAGCACACTTTTTCTTCAGTAGCTCTCAGTCATCAACAAAGGTCAGTCTTCCAGGTCCTTCATTCTTCATCCACCGCCGGTATCTCTTCCATCGGGGATCCGTGGCCATCTTCTTCTTTAACTCCTCTTCTTGTTCTCGTTTATAGACCTGAGAGACAAACAAAAGTTTTTAATAAGGCTGAAAAACCAGTTTAAATGAACCTCAAGGGAGTGTGTTTATAGTTTAACCATTCACCAGCCTGCTCTTTTTAGGTAAAACTGACTGCAACAGAAGCAGACCTTGACCAATGTAAAACTGTGGGAGTACCTTCAGCAGAGGAGCCTACTGTCTGTAGATTTGCATTTTTGCCAAGAGCAGAAATACCTCCTTGAAAGTGCTGCAAACCCCAAAACTCACTGAACTACCTCAATATTCAGCAGTCATACAGGCTTTAAATACTACTAGGAAAGTAACAGAGAGGGGGGGTAAAACCCACAGTGAAGCTCCTTGATGTACCCGTGTGTTGAATTCTTGGTCTTTCCTATCCTAAAATGACATTGGAGGACTGAACAATATGTAGATGTAGGCATCTCCAGTGATAAAAGAGCAGAGAAGCTTTTGGGGAGAAATATCTAATCATGTCTTTTCTAGGCTGAAAAATATGCTCCAGTTTCAAGTAAGGATATAGTAGCGGTATGCAGGAGCAGAGGTAGCACAGGAAGAGAATAAAGCATGATTATTCTCCATTTCCAGTAATACAAGAACCAGCAGGTGTCTGCATGGCTTCCAAAAAAATCAGTCTTCTGTAGGTATTGCTGAACTCATGACCAGATGGCACTGAAAACCAGCCGACCACCACAGATGAACTAGGGCTACAGACTTCACTTCTGGCAGATACAGCTCGTTTATACTGAATGATCAAATCATCACTAGTCAGAAGCAGCATGGATCCCAAACAGTGCCATTTTTTCTCTACAACAACAGGATATCCATCCTATCTCACTTTTTCATATAACATCTTCTTCAGCTGGTAACATGACTTGACCTTTGAACTTCCAGGCTGTTTTCTAGCAATCCCATCACAATCCAGCACGTATATACACCTGTCGACTAATCCTCTCCTAACATTAGCATCAATCTGACTGTTTTCCTCTGAGCTTCTAGATGAATCTACCCCTGCCTACTTTTAAAGAATCACTCTTATCTTTGGTGCCCTGCCAGCAGCAAGAGCAGTTCTACCACCATCCCATTTCTTTCCCCAGCATACACAGAGCAGCAGCAACATCTCCTCTTCCCCTTAAGCAGACCAAGTTCATATTCTCAGTTTCTCTTCTAGAGATCTCCCACACAGACGAACTTCTGTGGAACAATAAAAGTGTTTTGTCAGTCTGCCACCTCCCAGCATCCCAAGTCATTCTTGACTGTAAATTCCATGCTGTGGCTAATGTTCTTTCACTGCTCTCACAGAAAGCTTAACAAAAAATAATTTACATATTGACTATTTAGTAATTGGCTATTCGTGACAAGAGTAGCTGTTGTGCCCCGTGGCATTTCATATGCCATCTACACTTGAGTAGGTATATAAAGCAGAGCAAAACCAGTCCCTGACTCACTGAAGCCAAGAAACTATACAAGGGATACTGTAAAAAGAAAAAAAAAAAAAATGCCAGGAGTTAATAGCTTAGAAGGCTGAAGAAACAGGAGTTTCAGCTGATCTAGGTAATTCTTATTACAAATTATTACTGTTTGCAGTACAGTTTTCAATCTACTTGTAATAACTTTGTCATACCACATTTTCACAGGAAAGCCTTTCATCAGATTCAACTAAAACTTGTATGCGCAGATTCTGTAACCACCACGGGGGTATGTCCCCCGACCGAGCAAAGCCCTTCCTGCTACCCGTGGGCATGGCCAGGAGCTGTTGTTCATCACTCCACGAGTGTAAGAAGTTGAGGAAAACACACATAGCGGTTGTCTAACAGTTTTCAATTTAGAAAGCAACAGCTAAAAATAAACCAATGTTTCACACAGCCCTATCCCGAGCACCTTCACAGAACAGGTGTCCTTACTGTGGGAGTGTTGGATAACTGACACCAGCTTCTCCTCTAGAGCTACCCACCTCATAGTTCTCCCGTATCCACAACTGGCGCTCAAGAAAGGTTTCTTTCTGATGATCTTCTAGGCTGTCAAACTGAGACTGAGACATTTTCATGTACCTTCTTATGATGTACAGCTTCTCTTCTACACCGTACTCTCGCCCTTTAATAGTGAAACAATAAATCCACCAACAGTACCAAACTATGTATCTGCACAGGTAAAAGGGAGCGAGGAGGATCTGAAATAGAAGGATATCATATATCTTGGGCTTCTGATAACCGCCTTTTATCTCAATTTTATTTTTAATAATGTCTTTGATGATTTCTTCCTCCTCTTCACGGATTTCTTCTTTAGACCGTCTGTTCTTGCCCTTTTCTTTAGTCTTGTTGAGTAAACCTTGTTGCTTGGCAATCTCAGTAGCTTGTATACGGTATTTTGGCACTGTAGCTAGGTAGTTGATAGCTTCATTGTAACTGCTCCACCAGCTGAAGAACTGTAATTGAAGAACAGTAAAAGTAAGAAAACCCATGATTTTATGCAGACACATTCCCGTTTGCAGGTGTGCCAGGAAGAAGAATAATGCTATCATTCACCTTTAACCACAATTACATTAGAGCAATGGTAAAATAGAAAACAACAGTGCATCTCCACACCTAGTAAGGCACCTGGAAAAGAGACGTGTATCTCACAGCAATACACAGGGATGAGTAGCAATAAGCAGACACCGTTTGGGTTGGTATTGTTCACGAGGAGACTGTGATCTCCTGAAGGCTGTGGGGCCATTCTCAGGAGCCCCCTTGGATTGGTAAATAAAGTAGCTGATATGTGACCATTCTATTATAAAATTATTATTCACTTAAAGTAGTTAATTACACATGGATTAAGTACATGACAAACTCATTAGTGTAACAGGGTTCACTTTACAAGACTCAACATTCCTCTGTAATCTTTAGCTATCCTCCAAATTTCAGTGTGGAAAAAGAACATCTGAACAACTGTAAAGAGAACACAGTTAATGACAAAGTCCAGTCCCCAGGTACATCATGCAGCTGTATGCCTGGAAGCACGAAACTCAGCACTGGTGAGGTGCTAAGCACTGGGCGAGTGTGGCAACCATCACCAGATAGATATCTGGTGTTATCTGGGTGCCTGGAGGAGCAGAGGCCTCCTGGTCCCAGTCTTGCAATGGCTTAAGCCCGAAACAAAAGGAGCCACTACCCCCCACCCATGCAGGTGTAACTCAACGGACTTTGTGGCACTAACTTGAGCAATACTATTGTCTATAGTCATCCCCACTCGCACGTACACCCCGGTGATGCAATGTAAAAAACTCAAGTATAAATATCACCCCAATGTCAGCCCCAAAACTGGGACAGGGTTGACTCGGAACCACACCGATGACAGGAGGGATTGACGAATTCGCTCCTTCGCCATCCCCCCCACGTGGGACGCCGTGTGGGTGAGACTATTTACCTCAGCCAACGCTGAGAGATAGACTTTTCCTCCCCAGGTGTATCCATATTTTTCTCCTCAGGTGCATTTCTATGCTTCATCCTGAGTGTACCCTTGATTATTGTCGCAACTTTACTGTTTCTTAGTCTGCTGTGTTTTCTGTCCAATGAGCTTGTCTATTTCCCAGGCATCCGGGCCTACCGCGGGCAAGTTGTTATTGTTTTGTGTGTGTGGCGTATGTATCTAGTGTGCTGTTGTTATTAGCAATAAACCTTTAGTTATACCCATAGCTTTTAGCTTTATCACCGGCAATCCAAAAGAATCTTTAACTGTTGCTGTAAATAAACAATTACCATTTGCCTCCCGATCTGCATCTGTCGCATTTTCGGTGTCGGCCACAACTACCGGATCTACCCCCTCCCCTTTTTCACAACGACAACAAACCAGAAATACCTGGGGTGAACCTATCTTATTGGGGCAACTTTTTGCAAAAAGCAGCGTTTCACACCATTCACCAAGACGAAGAGCAGACATACACACACATTTCACAACCTTACCAAAAGTCAGAAAGCAGAAATAGCAGAAAGCAAGAGACGCAAATCAGTCTACACAGGTGTTTACACTGACTCTGCAATCATTTGGCAGCTGGACTGCCTGATAGTGAGTGCCTCTGCCTACAGCCATCATAAGAAGTAAGAGGTGAAACTAAACTCTGTCATTGGAAGTAAGCCTGAATAGCCATTCAGTACTTGGCTGAATATGCCATTGAAATTCATTATTCCAAGCTCTCAAATTCTGATCAACATCAGAATCCAATATCCAATATTCCAATAAAAATGAGCTTACTCCAGCACAGAATAATCTGTTACACTCACCTCTTAAACTTTTTTTGGCATTTTTCATGAGATCCTAAAGAAAAACAGTTATGCATCATCTTCCACTTAAGTATCTTCCAGCAATAGCACATTTTCTCATCTAAAACACAGACTGTTCTCTTGACCTTGGATTTACCACCCTCACAGCGAGTTTTGCTGAACCTAATAATTCACTTCTCTCCTGCCTTCACTGTGGTGTTTAACACACTGCAATGTAAGATTCACACATTAGTAAACTCCTGATACTCAGTCCTACCATCTGAATTGAGTCTTGAATTTACTTTATAATTAGTCTGTATTTTAAAAAATTACTTGGGCAGTCTGATAAACTGACACACACTTACTGGAGCTCTAGTCCTGCCTCCTGTCTGTGCTTAGGAGCAGGCTATTTTGAGCTTGCCGTGAAGAACCAAGTAACGTCTTTCAGAACGCTGCACTTGTCTCTATGAAATACCCTACCATTTAAAGAAAATAACCTCTACCCGTGTCCAAGGTGACAAGGGCAGTCCAAAATCTGCTCAGCACATCTTGACTTAAGGTTTGTTGTGCACACCACCTAGGTGTTTACTACAGTAGATTGGGACAAGCCTCCTCAGTAACACTGTTTGGGGAACTGCAGGTACCTCTCTTCCCATTCAGAAGCTCACTGAGTGTCACAGGGATATGAAATTTTACCTGGAACACGGAGATGGCACACACTGTAACTAGAATCACTATTCTCACATCCACTTTAGGTGTCAATCTCCTGCTGTAGTAGTGATAATAATGCCTGTAATACTCTTCAGGATGATCCAACATGTAGTCATAATCTTTACGCATTTCTTCATCCTGCAGGATGAGACAAAAAACATGCACAGGTTCAGATTCCTGATTTCTCTTGCTCTGCAGTAGCTGTGTTTTACATCTCATTAATGACCATGCTGCTATAAAATTGGCAATAGCCTGAGCAAGTATGAAGCACACAGGAAAATCTTTGGTCATTTTCTCATACTATTCAATTAATCTGTCATCACACTCATCTGCCCACACACATCTGGCATATGTAGTCTTAAATGCATAAGCACACACTACATGAACACATTTAATATTGAAATAAAGACAGGCAACTGAAATTTGCATAGGAAGTATTTTGAACTTCAGAATGGTAAATTCAGATGGACTAGAATGAATATATATTGCTCAAAAAGAGTTTCAGATGAAGAACCTATGAACAGACTGGTTTACAAATCTTTTGGAATTAGTTTTCATGGTTGTGGAATTGTTTCAACAGAAGGCTGCTTCAAAATCTCATTGTTCTCATTTTATCAGTTTTTCTCATATTCACCCATGAAATTAAGAGATGACAAACTTCATTTTGTCAGCCTCTACTGCATTCCTTTCCTACCTCCCAAAAAAGTTCCCTTTTTTTCTCTTCCACAGTCTTAAACCACTTAAGAGGTTTCTTTCTTCCATTCCCAGGTTTCCTATTTGTCAAGCCACAGCGTCTCGCCCCAGTAAGCCCCCTTACAGATCCCATAGGCTAGTCGAGTCACTATTACCTTTTTGTTTAAGGGTGTACCTCAAAGACAAAGCCCAGTCTGTTCATTTTAAACATAACGGGATTTTCAAGGGAACAAATTTTAAAGACAAAGGAATTTCCAGGAGAGTGCACCCTCCACACATACCACTACCCCCTTAAGACTGGCTACTGAAGGGGATTTTTTCTTTTCTCTCCCCTCCCTGGCCACTGGTAGGAGACCAGCCAGATGAGTTCACGCAAAGGAATGCAAAACCGAAGCAGCAGAGCTGCTGGGATGCAGACAAGCAGAAACCTGAGGGGCTTGGATGCCCTCCTGGGGAAGAGCCAGGCGTGAGCTGTGCACAGCCACGGTCCTGCGGAACCCTGACGTTCAACCCGCACCTCTTCCAAGGCACACCTAACACGTGGGTGCAGCTCAGAGGCAAGGGACCTTGGGGTAATGACCAACAGCTCGATGGCTGCGGCTCATGCGCAACAACTTGCGGGGGATTATGTTTAAGCCTTTCTGTTTTGTTTATTTTCCTTCCCACAACACGTGGCCGTTTCATTTCCCACCCCTCTGTTGAGGTGGGTGCTGCCTATATGCCCCAAGGGGTAACTCATGCACTGGTGAAGAAGGGTAAGAAACAACCCCAGCTGACTTTGTGCTCCTTGTGGCTCAGTATTTGGACCACTTCTGTTTAACATCTTCATCAATGATCTTGATGAGACAGAGTGCACCCTCAGTAAGTTTCTGGACACCAAGCTGGGTGGAGTGCTGCTCTGCTTGAGGGAAGGGAGGCTCTACGGAGAGGTTTGGACAGGATGGACTGATGGGCCATGGTCACTTGTATGAATTTCAACAAGGTCAAGTGTCGGGTCCTGCACTTGGGCCACAACAACCCCAAGCAATGCTACAGGCTTGGGGAGGAGTGGCCTGGGGAAAAAGGCCCGGGGGGTGCTGGTGGACAGCCAGCTGAACAGGAGCCAGCAGTGTGCTCAGGGGGCCAAGATGGCCAATGGCATCCTGTCTTGTATTAGAAATAGTGTGGCAAGCAGGACCAAGGTGGTGATTGTCCCTCTCTACTTGACATTGGTGAGGCCACACTTCAAATACTGTGTTCACTTTTGGACACCTCGACATAAAAAAGACCTTGAGGTGCTCATTGCTATCTACAGCTTCCTCAAAGGACACTGCAGGGAGGAAGGTGCTGGTCTCTTCTCACAAATACCTAGTGGTAGAGCAAGCACAAGGCGAGTTTTAGACTGGACATCAGAAAGAACTTCTTCACTGAAGGGGTTGTCAGGCATTGGAACAGGCTGCCCAGGGAGGCGGTGGTATCACCATCCCTGGAGGTGTTTAAAAGCCAGGTCGATGTGGTGCTTGGAGATATAGCTTCGAGGTAGACTCGGGTTAACGGTTGGACAGAACGATCCGAGAGGTCTTTCCCAACCAAAGCGATCCTTTGAGCCTGCGACTCGCC